AGGCCTGGCTGAAATACTCAAACCACCCGGCAGCAAGTGGTTAATCCCAATGGATCTGCAACCAAACTGATTTCACTGCATGAGTTGTTTAACAGATGATGACACATTTCACGAAAGTCCACAACTACAGCTATGAATTACGGCAAATGTTTAAGCAATCATTTTAGGTGCAGTAAATTGCTCCAAACTAGCTGAAAGTTAAACCAAGTTTCATGAAATCAACAACAGTTCAATGGAATGGGGACAAACTTCTAGTAACTCTATGGGTTTCCACTAGGTCTGTCTCAAGTTACATCACATCCTACAGACTGCAGTGTGCTTTGGCATTTTTGATGTCAAGTTTTTGTGATGTGCATCAGCTGCGTTGTATTTCAAAGATATTTGTATCAGCACACACGTGTATCTTGTTTGCTTACTGCACAGTCATGCACCTGATGACATTTAACACTCAGTTGCAATTTTCGTATGAAGAGTGTCCTGTGAGAGAGATCTATAAACTCATGGTCCTGGTCTATGGCATTGAGAAGACTTAACAAACTTCTATTAACCACTTGTTGCCGGATGGATTTTTTCTTGAGCAAGACAAGATGCCTGGTCCTTTTCAAGATTTTCCATTTTCAAAATTCTTCAAAAATTCATCATTGCATTTAATGGCCGTTTATACCTACATGAAGGACTCTTTGGGCACTACTCTCAAGCTGACAGTTAACCTTCATTGACTTTTGAATATTTCAGCCAGGCCTGCAGCTTTGGAAAAAGAGCCCAGATTGTGCGGTGTTACAGAGATTCTTTTGTTCCCGAAATTGGCCGGTGTAGTGCTGACCTCTTTTCAATAGGGGCCAGATTAGTGTGCAGCGGTGCTGTGTGGCTCATTGCTGCGGTGGTGGAGAGCTTTTGTCCCTGGTGGTAATCGCTCGCTCTAAATGCCTTGAACCATGGTATACTGTTTCAAAACAAGGCTGGATTATCTCCACTATTGAGAGCAAAAAGTGTCGGTAATGCCCAGCAGCTCAGTCTTTTGTGGTGAGCACGGTCTTTTGTTTTAAGGCCTAACTCTTTTGTCCCAGTTCCGGGCTCCCCAGCTCTGCATATAAAGTTTATGTACTCGAAAACGGGTCGCCCGGCAGGGATCGGTTACACTCATGGTTATGATCTATGGCGTTGAGAAAGACTTTGTAAACTTCTATTAAACCCATGGGTCTGATCTACAGCATGGACATTGTTTCAGTCAGAGGGGTTCCTGTGCATTTTTTGGACACCCAGGTCATTATTGAGATTATTTTTACAAACGCATGGAAAAGCACAAAACCTTAGCAACTTGGACACCCCTTGTTCATTTCTATGCAATTGGGGACATTTTTCAAATGCTCACTTAAACACTGCATGGGGACAAACCTTGGGGACCTATGTAACAGCAAAGGATTAAACTCTAAATTAAAACAGAATCTTGAAGTGATCTATGGGTTTCTCTATGATCAAAGGGATCTTAAAGTTCTTTTGCATTAAAACCATTTGGAGTTTTGCACAGAGCAGACTAAAATTATTGACATATCTCTGTAAGTACAGTACATGTATTAGAACCACCCAATGCAAATTCTTCTTGAGGGAGGTGATTTCTTTTTCAGAAGTCCTAAGTCCAGCTTCAGTATTTAGGTTAATTCCTGTCACATTTTCAAGTTGAAAGTGGATCAATCCGTAGTCTGATGTAAAAGTGTTCAAAACAGAATGTGCATTGTATGCCACACATCTAGATCTGATCATTCAAATAAGATGTGTTGAGTAATGAATATGGTGGTCACACCTGCACTTTGCATACAGGATAAATGCCTAATAATGCAGTATCTGAGCTGTTAATTCTCGGCCTAGCAGAATTTTTGCTTGGGGGAGCAGATTATTTGTCTGACTGAACAACTGCAAGTTGTCTGCCAGGCCACTTTACTAGAATTTTTATTGTAAATACATGTATGTGTTATAAAATAGCAATTCCATCCAATATGGGAAACCAGAATAACTGGCCAAGCAACCTTGTTTTAGGCTATGGTTACCTGAGGGTAGCCAATTGTCAACATGTCATGGCCTGCAGCATGGCTCGTATTATTGAAGTGAGATTTACTTCATGTAGCCACAAATAGCATTTTTTGCAATGACTGTGAGACTGTAAGGGGCTGTCTATAATTTGTATAATTTTCTCAAGCGTACAAACGAGGGGGGTGTTTAAAGACCTCTTGTAAATGATGATCCCCTAACGGATCCGTCAGCTCTCCATCCATCATCATTTTTTACCTGCTGATGTGGGGGGGGGTTGTGAAAAGTCTACTTTTTGTTAGCTAACGAAAGTGATGAGAATTATGGACGACCCCTGAAGTAAGTTGACAATACATTATTTTCTATTTTTATGATATAGGATTCTGGAATCGAACAGAGACAATAAAATGATCTATGCTATGAGCACATGTACAAGTTCGTTTATTATAGTGTGTCTTAACTGGATGTGGTTATGCACATACTTCAGCTTTGATCGACGATGCAGCGAGATATTCATGGTACTTGATATTTTAAACTCAATGGCAGTGTCTTTCAGTGTTGAAATGGTAGTTCATGTATTTTGGTGCAGGATTTTTTTTTCTCCACTTTATGGTGCATGATAAGGCTGTTACGCTCAAGATTGGTAGCATTTAAAGTGTAAGATCAAAACTGGGCTGTCAGGGAGTAGTTTGCTTGGCTGACATAAGCAAAAAGTCAGTCACCAAATGCAAAGTCTATTTCTTTTCCTGTTAATAGAGGTTACGCATGAACACGTCTTCGGAGGGCAAGAGCTTTGTATCACCAGTATAGGCTCCAGTAACTTTGTGCATTCATTGTAACTAAATTAAAATATAATCAGCCTCTGAGACACAATGCAAACACCAGCAATGTAAAACCTCTATAGTCTCTGTAAAGAAGCTGTTCATTTTCCATTTTCCAGGAAAATCACAGTAACGTAAAAACACACAAGTCTTTCCACATACCTATCACAGAAGATTACTTCAATATTATTTTGCTCTTTTGACTAACTAAATTTAAAGAAAAGTGACACTGGAAAGACGTGCAACTCTCACTTAGTGTTATTCCACTCATGGGGTCAATGGACATAACATACTAGTATTAAATACATAACAATTTATATATTACATGAACGTGCACTCTGAAACCACACCATGATGTGCTTGACCATAATGTCCCACAACAATTTATAACAATTACTTGTTCCATTCTGAACAGCACATTGTTACCAATCTGGACCGCTATCCTGACCAAAGAAAGCAACAAATACAACTAAATGACTAACCTGTTATCACAGCATCCCTGCATGGCAAGTCAGCTCAAGGATCATTTGTACAAACTATAACCATAAATTGTTACAATTAATAAAATCTATTGTGACGGAAACACCTGTTAACAAGCTAAAGACCATACAATATACAGCTTTTGTGGTTGGCAAAAATAAGTCAGATTATTTGTGTTGCATTCTGCAGACATTATAAAAGTTCCAGTCAGACATTTCGATGTAAACATTTTTAATTATGACCAGATGATTTTCTTCAATAATTTTTTAAACCTGCAAAAGGCCTTTAGCCCCAATAGAAATTAACTGTTTTTTTATCCACACACAGTTTTTGTTTAGCTTGATTCCCTGACAAAGAGTCTGTCAAGATGGCAAGTTTTCTTTGGGATATTTCTTTGTCATCTGCTTCTCCTTGTCCAACATCTGCCCATGGCCATAGTTTGCTGGCTGGAAGACTTGTTGGAAACAAAGCACGCTTCAACCAGAACATTAGACATGAACAGTACCCCCATGGACACCTCAAAGCTTTGCAAGACACAGAGAAATTAATGCCAGCAATTTCTGTTTTATTTGACCTAAGTTGCTTTTGTGCTTTGAATAGGAATTTCTCTGGAAAATCAACAGCAACTGTCAACTTTTCCCAGAGTAATGCAGAGTTCACAGACATCAATGACTGCTCTGTGTATGACAACAATAAACTGATTACAAGTTGTACCATAATAATACAAACACTAAAATATTCCATAAGTCCTTCAAACCTACTCAAAGGACCCCTGTCTTAGGTACGTCAGTCATTTACACCAGATTCAGCAAGCTAGAAAATTTTAACTATGTCCTAAATACATTGTAAAATAACTAATGTAACACATGGACTATTACATGAGCCACCAGTGACCACAGGATAACATCAAATGCAGGTATTACAGTATCTGCAATGCAACCAAATTCAAATGAGCAACCTGTTACACCAACATGATGAAGTAAACCATGTGGTCCTTAAGAGTTCTCTAGTAACTTATCACTGGGATGAGAAATTGTCCAAATGGTCCAGGGTACACAGACATATATATACGAATTTTCTTCCACTTTAAATGCATGGTTAGCCATGACGAATTTCAAACTTGACTAATAAAAAAATTTACCAATTCTCTCTGATCTGATGCACATGAACATCACTGCTGGCTTTATACTCAAAATACCAACTTTTAAACACTATGAGACTACATACTTTATTTTTCTATTCGTGTATACACGTGTATATAACAACGAAGCAAAATACAGCGGGGCAAATTTGCTATATAAAATATTCATTCTTTAAGCTCTGATATGCAATTTATGCTGGCCCAGTTGCAAATGGTTCAGTGCATAGAGGAGTCAGGTTTGCTTGTGATTTTGCATTTCAGTTGCAATATAGAATTAAACATTGTGAAACACGAACCCGTGAAATCCAGAATAGAACAGTGGATTCAAAACAGCTTCAATCTGACTAATAACATCAGAACAAGTTGTAACACGACCATTGGAAATTAAAGGAGTACCATGACACTTTAAAGGGCCAAGTGTTCACAAAACTGATTCAGGGCTTGTGGACTTCAAGACTACACTCTGTTGTGACTAGGTGTGTGTGGTCAGAAGCCACAATTGTGTTCTCATAAAAAGCTGCTGCCATAACTTCAAAGCACAAATGAACACCAGCTTATGTTGCTATAATTTATCAACCAAAATTTACTACCACCAATACAACCCATTTGTTGATAGCAGAGAACGCTCACAGTAGCACTTCCTTCGTATTATTGCTATAATAAGAGCACCATTAAAACCAATGGAACAACTGTTGAAAAAACACTCATCTAAACTAAAGCACTAAGCCATTATTGACACCGATTCAAACCAACAAATCAATCTCTTTTCATGTACATGTTTAATCCTTTCATTTATATTTTGGTTTACTGTTTCGTTTTCAGATTGTTGAAAGCTCAATTTTAATTCATAAATTGCACAAATTTTGTAAATGTAAATGGATAAAGAAGCAAAACTGTATCATATGTTCACTTTTTATGGCTGCACAGCAGAAATGTTTTCTAAAAACAGTTTATCAGAATCATTTCCCTTGGTAATGAAAGTGACATCATTTTGCCATAACTTAAAAGCTTTACTCGAGTACCAAAACTTTTGTGTACAGATTTGAACAGGTGGAGCTTTCTATGCAATTGAGCACAGTTGTCAATACAACTGATTGCTATGTAGGTGAGCCTTCACACATGCCTTCACATAATTACATAAAAATGAATTTAAAAAGAAACTCAGGATCATTTTATGACCTTTACAACGTATATACTACACAATTTCTGCAGAAAATCTGTAAATTCATTCAATAAACTCCACCATCAAACCTTGTCATGAGCCATATTATAAAGCCAAATGATACAGAAATGCATATAAACTAAACATAACTTATCTCTCAAATGCTATACACAATATGATACACAACAAACAACTTCTTATTCTTCGTAAGTTGTATTAATTCAAATTCATTTGTAGTGTTTGATTTATCTCCCACCTAAAATATATATGTTCTGAATATTTATGTCTCAAATACAATAAACCTAGATGATTTTCTGAGTTGTTAAAAAAAAAAAATTAGTGGTTCATTAATAAAAGTGATGCAACAGCAAAACAGTGCGTCATTTCCCCGAGTTGTGCATTGACAATGTGCTAAACAAGGAAATTTACTGCTGCTTTATCTACCACACAAATGATCAACAGGGTGGAAGCTTCAGAAAATGTCAGCAAGTCAACGGAAAAGCAACGTCAGAGTGTTTGATATATGTCAGATTACAATGGTCAATCTACTTTAAACTATACATGCAAAGCCAAAGACACAGACAATACCCTGGCTTATTACAGTTATCAAGCATCATGATTGGTGAGCCAATGAAAAAGAAAAGGATTTTTGAATTGTCACTGGGCACATATAACATATTCACTGGAGCCAGAAAATCTGCGGTAACTGAGGATGAAGCGCTTTGTTTGCATAGTAGATTAATGTGCAACTCAATGTATTCCAGCCAGCCAACTCACACGGCATCTGTCTACTAGTTTTCAAACACCATAGCACCATGTAGAATTACTAGTGTGCGGAATCACTGTGCAAAGTGAAGCCTGCTTGTCACATCCATGTTTGTGTAGAAATCTATGGGAAAATTCTGTATGGCTTTGTACACCTATTTGCATGTCTGTGCCTGTATTGTAAAACAATGTGTCTACAAAGCCGACTCCCCCAAAACCTGAACATACAATCAGTAAATGAGTTTGTAGTAGTGCTTGGTGGTGCAGATACCGAATTAAATGATAGAAAAGGCACCATTTGTTATTTGCAAACGTACTAGCGCACTGTATTTAGAGTACATCATTCTGAATTTGTTCCATCTCATTTCATTATGTTCTACAAATATCCCCATGAATTTAAACTGTCTGCACCCAGAAGGAGTCAACACTTCTCCATTTGAGAGTTATTTAATATAGCTCTGTAGTAAACACTGACTGCTGTGTGGCACAGTAAGACTAGCTTCCCTCCTGAGGTTGGTTCACTATATCCATACTTGTTTTATAACACCTCACCATAGTCTCTGTATGATGTAAGAGATAGTCACACAAACCAACACCGATATAAATGATGTTATTTAAACAATCCATTTCAACTCCAGAATACTTTGATGACAACACACTTCCTTAGTTACACTCTGTGGCATAATGTGCAATGTAGGAAAGAAAAAACAAAGGAAAAATGTCCAAAACACAACATGTACATGGATGTGTGTAGACCAGGATTGCTAGGGTAGGGCACCACACTTGTCACAGGTATAGTACTTTGGGTGTGAGATAGGTATTGATTGAAGTCTGCAGTGATAATTACTATCAAGTGCCATGTTTTTGCTCAGTGAAGAGATAATAGATTGGTGCAGTGTTACAATGTTGTCACAGGGAATACAAAGAATGCATTCATAATTAGGCACTGCACATGCCCAAGGCATGCAAAGTTGCTAGACCTGTGTTGAGTAGACCACATCACGAGTCCGAGGAGTCGCTGTTGACTGCTGCGCTGAGGTCCACCTCGACCTTGTTGCGTCGTGTGCTGAAGAGTGAGCTAACAGGTTTGGTGGGGGTGCGGTTTTTTCGTGGGAGGGGCATTGTGGCGTTGATATCCAAGGTCTGTGACAAAGAGGCCAAAAATTACAATGAATAAATATTAAACTGATCTGCCAAATAGGCATGTTTTCAATTAAACACAAACCACAGGAATTCTACCATGCATTCTACCAGCATTCTTGATGCACACTTCAGTATTCTGCATGAGGGGTCAAGAAAACTGTTCGTTATACAAAACACATAACCATCAAAGACAAAGATCTCACTGAAGACACAAAAGAGCTACATAACCACAAGTACACAATCTATTACCCTCAATACTACATGCAAGATTTGCAAACAAGCTACCGGTGGTTTCTGGGCATATTTCTCTCAAGAAACCATCCCCCTTGGAAAAGGATTTCCTATCTAACCCATTTCTTGGTATCTAACTATCTTACACCTCTCAGTACAGACACTATACCCAACAGATTTTATTCAGAGGTAGCCTTCGTGTGGGGGATAAAGAAAAATGGCTTCATCAGGACAATGATTCTGTTGCTGACACTGTTTATCTAGCACCCAATACACAGACTTTCAATCATTGTGTGCATTCTCACATAGAAATCCTGTGAGAATCTGTACCACACCTGTGTAAACTATTAGGCATGTGCAAGTAAAGTAGGGAATAACATTTCTCACACCACAGAGGAATAATCCCTTGACAGAACACTGGTGGACTACCACACACCAGAAAGCAGTATGCTAATCAATTTCAGGACATCAAGTGTTCCTTAAAATTTCAAGAAGAGGTGAGGTAGGGGTTGAATGAAGCAAAGATTCAACAATCTAGTAGCCAGCAATAGAACTGAGAGAATTTCAGTCACCTTTTCACCGTGTATTAAAGACAGAAATCTTGACATAGCCGTGGGGTCACGGAATATGTCAAGAAAGGTTGTCCAAGCACATGTGCCAGTGCATAATTTCCACTTCTCCTTAGCACTCTGTGCAAGATGGATTATTTGGAATTAGCAAACCTTTAAGATATGTATCTACTGGAGAAGGGGGAAGTGTGTATCATGCAAATAAAGCTGCCTACTCTGTCCCTGTCTCCCTATGAGGGATTGGTTTTGGACTATTTGTTATTACATAGACTCCATTCTACATTCCACACAATGCACAGGACATGCATTCAATCAATCAATCAAGACAGGAATGAAGACACTCACACAGCTACAATGCGCGTGATGGCCCACTAAATGGTGTGTTAAGAAAGTGCAGAAAGGAAGAAAGCAGACACAATGTGCATACATCAATCCAAATTGCTCAAACTTCTCACGGGAAATATATCTTAATTAATTTTCTATTTTCTAGTCAAAATGGGCTCACGCCCATTTGTATTCAGGAGACATGGGTTGCGATATTCATAAACAATGTCTGTGGTGCACTGGAACTTGAATTCTGTTCTGAAATAAACGTTACACCAAAAATACATGTAAGATAAACAGAAAGTGTATTTTATAGGGCAAGGTATTTCTGTCAAATGTTACTGATGCCATTCATATTTGAACCTACCCTATTGCTTACTGATTTTAATTCTTCCAAACATTCACTAAATGTTATCTTAGCATGTGAGCCAACTGAAATGACAAAGAAACAAATCTGACCTAAAGTTGAAGATAACAGGGCCATTTATCAGATTTGGAGCTTCACATTTTGAACAGACCTCAACATTACTTTTGTCAGCGCTTGTCCATGGGACAAGTGGCACTCAAAGCTAGCTTGTCCAATGTGTGATTTTACGAGCCTAGACAATTTTAACCCAATAGTTACTGTCCTACACCAATAAGCAAAGCCCTGAAACTGGGCCCTGTATAAATGCCTGCATGTGCATTAAGTTGTGTAAACCAATGGGATTTGGTACCCCAACACAACGGTATTTTATATATGTACATGTAATTCATTTTTGTACCAATTTTCCCTCTGTGAAAAGGTGCCCTGCTAAATGTAAAACGTGTCACACCAACCCCGTCCCCAGTGGCTACTTTAGGCCTTTTCATACTACAGCCTCTCAACCCGGGTTGAACTCAACCCCGGGAAAATCCATGACAGCCCTGGGTTGACAATTTTGATTGTTTCACACTTGTTTCATATGAATTGAGCTTATCGGGGTGAGTTTAACCCAGAAATGAACACGAAAAATTTTCAACCCAGGTTGAAAATTCTCAACCCTGATCCAGAGCACAGTTGAGTTCAACCTGGATTGAAGTCAATCACAGGTTGATGCAGGGTTGAAAATTTTTAACCCTGCGTCAACCCCCAGATTTGTCTCCTGTGAAAAGGCCTTTTGTTTCTAGCATAACTTCCAATAGTAACAGCCATAGGAACGCACTGCTTGACACCATGGGGATTAGATTGGCCAAGTACGTACATTTCCACATAAAATGCCTGCCCTGTAGATTCATGGTGGCTGCGCACACAGTGTATGAGTTAGTTTGAGATGAAATCATACTCAAAGCATTTATTTAGCATGCGAAGAAGAATAACAGTCAAAGGTCAATTTGCCGACTACTATTCTTGGCTGTGAAAAACTGCCCTTTTCAAGGCAAAAGTACCTGTTCATCAGGCAATTTGTCCTGAATTATTTTGTTCATCCAAAAGAACAAATTACTTGTCCTGGGCAACTGAACAACCATTAATGTCAAGGCCTGATGTTCAGGTAATACAAGAAAATTTGGACAGGTTTCTATAATGATGATGCATTTGTGTATTTCTGGGTAGACTCTGACTAAACTAATATTTCTCTCTTCTGCCTTAAGTTGCATTTTGATGTTATGACCATGATTGTGATAAAAAACTTGTCACTGTGCAAACAAAAGGTTTTAATCTAAACGTTTTATGAAATTGATTTGACAAACTACGTGTAGTTTGTTTGTCATCCATTCTCATGAGTGGACAAAAGGATGCTGTGCAGTACATACCACTCCACTGTCTAGAGAACTGGCGCTGTTTCTGTGATTCTTCTTGGCTGTTGAAAGACACAAAAGTCCACATATATTACACGGTTCCAGAACAGTAAACGATTTTTATGGTTATGCAGATTAATAGCTAGCTAGATACCCTGGACAGCTCCTGGGTACTTCTAGTTATGAAGGCTGGCTAGAACCTTTCATCACTATGATGTATGCAGGCCTTTTAAGACTTTTTTTTTTAAATCTGAGATCACTGATATTCAAAATCCACCCATCAGCATTACCACTGACAATATCCCAGTTATCTAGGCTGTTATCTACCCACCTGATGCTTCCTTAAGATCCATCAGTGAGTTGGACAGTGCTGTCCTCTTCAACGTGCTACTGTCACTAGTCTGTGGTGCTAAGGAGTCCATGCTACCACTCAGGTTCTGTGTGCTTGCAAAGCTCTCTGTATCCAGACCTAGTCCAGAGTCAGCCGTGCTTGCCTGGCTCTTCCGTACAATCTTTTGCCTCTCCAGCTCAGCTGAAAGCAAGACAGAAAGAAACTGGTACTAGTTAAAAAACTTTCCCTCTTGGCACTAGAAAGTGGAAACTCGCTATTATCATGAAGTGTGTATAGGATGGGGGGAGGGTTATTATTTCCAGACTCACAGCAACTCGGTGATGCTGAGTATTTTGTTTTTCATTCCCACACTATGACTCTGAGATTTCATTGCATTACAGTCCACAAGCACTTATATTAATTAAGGGATGCGTGTACTTTTCAAGAAGTTTTCATTTCAAATTTTTAAGGAGAGTGGGACTCAAGCAAAATATCTATGTTCCTCACACTTCTACAAATGCAGTCAAACATAATTAATACACAGCCTTTTCATATTCTTGTCAAAAATTTTTGCTTTTGTTTTTCTTTGAGCTTAACAAGAAGAAACTGAAAAAAATGCTATTTCTGCTTTTCTATAATGATGCTTTTTTGACAGTTTTTTGTCAACTGTTTTTACAGCTTTTTTAAAAGCAAAGATGATTTGTTTTAAATATGATAGAGTGATTGTACTGCACAGAATAACCAAATTTACAATGACAGGCAAAATGCTGTTCAAACAATAGAAAACAAGAAGGAAAAAGAAAAGAGGCATGGATACATAAGATACTCTTGTAATATGTAACTGTACACATAAAATGACATTGCCACAATATCAGCACATCACTGGGAATCATTTTACTTGCTGAGGCAGGGTGGGCAGGGGTACGGGTGTGGACGACATAAACTTCAAGGAAAGCCCTTAAGGCTCTATCTATGCCCTATCAAGTCTATGGTCAGCTATCCAACCAGAATAAAGCAATGGATTCCTTCAACTCTCAAAGGTAACATTGCTGGGTAAACTATATTTATGTATCCTTTCTGCTGAGTGCCAAATCAAAGGTGAGTTCCTCTCACATAACAACTTAACACATCTGTGCACTTCCCCACCACATATGTACATGTATATGCATGATTACCAACGTCTTTCAATGAAGTACACCATCATTAGCTCTTGTACATGAAAGTGGACCATACAACACCATCAACCATTCATGCATTTGTCTACAGTGTTTACAGTGCTTCGCAAAAATACTTAAAAACAGGGAATCACAGCATCGTATAGGGCAAGAAGACAATACATACATGTAGTCTACATCTTTCCACAGCCATCGTTTTGTCAAATATTTGCCTTAAACAATCTTCATGACAATTCTCACACCATTGTTGTTCCACAGAAGCACTGAAATTAGACTTTTTGAAAGAAATGCTCAGTGGGTTATCCGACAAAACTGGTAGTGTGATAAGGTGATCGGAAGATACAATTTGAAAGGAGCAGAGGCGCTGAACAACGAAAAAAGCAAAAATTGCTGTTTGTACATGTAATTACTAGATTTAGTGATGTTTATTTGAATGTATGGACTATGTAGTGCAAAGGTCTAGTTGTAACGGGGATGCTCACATCCATAGGTTGCAGGTTTGTTTTGAACATGGAACTCTGATTGATATCATGCGGTTAGAGAGAGTTTGAGAAAATCAGCTGTCAGGCAGGCCAAACCATTTCTTCTCAAATGTGACCAAACCTAACATAATGAGTGACAAGTTGCCAGACCAATGTTTGAGTGAAAAGCTTTTAAGAGTCTTACTCCGTGTAAATCAGAGGGAAACCCTCCACAAAATTTCATCCATACTTGTATTGTCCATTTCATTAGGATGCCTAAATGGGTAATACAGTAGATCAAAACAAAGAATGCAATTTGCTCTTTCTCAAACAACCTAAAACGGAATTATCAAAGATATGCCCTTAAGACACATTCTGTGGGATCCGGTCACAAATTTGAGTTGTTAGCATTGCCTGCATTCAATAAGGCATAACATTTAAGCTCACAGGCAAAAAGTAGCAGGGGTGTTTCCCAAATGAAGTACAAACAAAAAGTCTACTCCATCAGCAAGTATCTGTGGACTTCTCAGTTAATTCAATCTTGGTGACAATTGCAACTCAGTGTAGCTACATTGAGCGGACAGCTGCCTTGAGCTTTAAACAGAATGTTGAAGTATTTGCTAAAAGAAACCAATAGCTAAAGACAGACTAAACAGTGAATCAAAATGATGATGTGATCAACAGGAAAGGATCACCTATAAAAGGGAAGTGGACAGAGCATGATTCACACCTTACATGCAACAGGCTTCCAATATCTTTGAAGTTACATGCACAGAATTCAATAAATTAAACAATGGTCTAAAATTGTTTAAACTTATGTAATTTAAGGAACACTGAAACTTGAGATGGGCAGAGGGAAGATTAGTGTCATTTGCTGAATCAGGATAACTTGATTTGCACTTTTTCTTATAATGGTATCGCAACTACATGTATACCAAACTGTCAAAATGGAAAGGCTGAAGTGTCACAATGTCAAGTTGTGACATCAACAGCTTGACCTCACCAGTAGGTATTAGCAAAACTAAAAAGAATAGCTATTTGGCACCAGCAAGCAGTACCGGCTATGAAATTGTGCTCAACTGAAACAAAAGGTGTTTTTGAAATAGCTGCAATTTAAATTTGGGGCCAAATTTCATTACATGTTGGAGAGCAAAACACGCTCCTTTGTTTCTTGTAAACACGACCCAAATTAAGAGCTGCAAAGAGAATAACAAGAGGTGTTATGAGAGACTGGTTACAATAAAAGAATTTCTTGCACAGGACAAGCATGTCATCTTTAATAATCTGATCGCAAACCATTCAAATTGTTACGTGGCAGAGCCAGACCAAACAGCTAACAATTGGATACTGCCTTATTTTCCCATATGCCACTGCTAACACTGATGTGAGCCAATTCAAAAATATTAGAACATTTCAAGCCTTAAGTGGGCATGCATTAATACACCAATTAGTGCATGTACATACATTCAATAGACTCCAAGCAGACTTCAAAACAATACAACAGTGGGAAGCAATCGGTTGAGATTTGGTGTCCAACACCAAGGATACATACCTTCCCAGGGACACATTTCCCTTGGGGGGTAAACTAAAGGAGGCATGGTAGGAAGGAGGCAAGAAACAAAATGCAAACATAATTCACTCATCCAAAATAGGGTGACTGACTGAGGTCTTGACATGGGCATGTCATTGCATGCAATCAATGGGGACATTCTGTCATAAATCAAAATCCAAGACATTACACTGAGGGATATTCAAAACAACAGAAAGAAAAAGGCTGTAATATCATGAATCAGGGAATCAATGTTGGTTACTACATGTAAGTAAGATACATGGAAGTCACACTTGACAATGACTAGAGGTGTGCTTTGCCTGTCTTCATGATCAAAAACCCCTCTGACATTACTGCCCAACCGGATTCCTTCCAGTACTACTGGTCTATGAATGTGTAGCCCACGTAGTAACTCAATACAAGTTTGAGCTTCTAAACACACAACACTTTATTTCCAGAGATGACATGAGCGGTCTACTGCTCAAGACTTTGGATATCCTGATCATCACAGTGTTATCTTCAATCATACTGGTTATATCTAGGGGGGAGATATATATACAATGGTCTGGACACTTGTTCCAGGAAGTAACTTAGCTGAGACAATGGCAGAAGCACTGGGACATTACCATGCACTATCAAGAAAAAAAAACCAAGTTGAATTGGCATTTGTGGTTTACAGGATGCAATGTTTTCATTTCAAGTTATGTTTCATTCCGAACATTTTACATGCTCACAAATTGGGCTCCTCTTGTTTTGCCTAACTCATGGTTTCTTTTCCACAATGATGTAGTCACTTATACTTTACATACTTGGAAATCATTGATAGAAGTCTGGTTTCCAGCCTTTCAAGTGCAGTATGTTTGTGCAATTTTTTAATCACAATAATATGTACATGACAACCATTTAATAACCACCAAGTTGGACAAGAAAGAATTGGCCATTTATAAATTCAAGGGTAAAGGTTGATAGTGTAATTGAAAGCATTAGACTACAGACGGGATTTGTATAGACATGTACATGTACAGTGAGGCAGTAAGAGAGTTATTGCATTAGTAAGTCTTTTCAATGCAGTACTGTAGTCAAGACCATCAGCCATCCAGATACGTGTCATATCACAAGTCATTAAATAAACAATGACATAGGTATCACTTTGTCACAGCTCATCCAATCACGTGTGGACTTGTGATGGACTCCATAGCACTGCGTCACTGTTTTGGAACTCAACATGCCAGGATGGTGGAATGGCAGTTTTTGATGGGTGAACATTTCAAACTCTGTGTTGTTTTTATCCCAACAATCAAAGACTCAGTGCCATGCAAGAGTACAACTTGCCCCCCAGAAATGGAAGTTATTCTTTGCTCGCTCATTCATGTAACTGGTGTTGCCATGCCTATTTAAATGCAGATCCTCAACGTACATTAAAAAACAGACACACAAGAGGATCAAGAAAACTTTCCTGACAATGCCCAAGGGATGCAACTGCCAAAGGATATTACAAAACTCTCCAGATGCCACAGATGAATGAAGCACATAGAACAATCCCACTTAAAAGAACAAATTTACCAATTTCAGAGTGAGCAGCATTGTCTGGATATATGCTTGAAAAAAAAGGTTCATTAGGTAGGCACAATTTAGGGAGTTTGCATATTCATGATGTTAAATATTCATGAGTAGGTATACTGACCTCCAATTCTAATGTCTTCCATCTCATTGACTTCTTGGACTGCCTCTCTCAGGTCAGCCACAAACTTCATCTTGTCTTCCTGGGAGTTGGCGCAGAAGGTGATGAGTGTACGGTTGTTCATAGATGCTACTAGGCGGATTCCGTGGTGATAATCTATACAGAAGGACATATAATTCATTATCTGCTCTCTGAGATTGTGTCACTGTGGATTTAGAGATGAAGGTAATCTGACCAAGAGGGAAAGATTACGAACACTATCATTGATAACTTTTAATGCAGATACTAAAAACAGTGCAAGACAATTGGAAATCACGTTGTTCAGACAAGATGGAGTCTTTGTTGTTTGGAGAATAATTGAAAGAAGCGAAGATCAAGCGACCATAGTGGCCAGAGGCCAGAGCTGAAATGATGAAGATGATCAGTATATTTATTTAGCCTTGTGAAAAGATGACAGATTTAAAATTCAGTCATACAGTTCAGGGAAAAAAGAATTTTCAAAATGTCACAAAATGTCCCTCTTTAGGAAATGTTCCAGGCATGCAGTCATTGTATACTGAAAAAAGTGTGTTCATTTCAGGTTAACAAAATAAAGAAAATCTCATTCAAAAGCAATCTATAGACATTCAAATGCAAATCCTTGGGACCGAAGTACTATGTTGATGAAAATCATATATGTGAGGGCTTTTTGTTCTTAAGGAGACCCAGATTTCAAAGCTGTTTTATCTCCACGAACAAATGCATTAACCAAGCTGAGCAGATGGTCCAAGCAATCAAGATTAAAAGCCTGTTTGGATCAGCAAACAAGAGGCATTTCAGCTTTCCATTACTGATTGACAAGGTCATTTAAATACACTTCAAACATCAAGAATGTGTCATTTAAAACTCATTGAGTTGTGTGCCTGGCATTGCAATCTGTTTATGGATTCAAATCAGGCTGTACCGCATGTTTGGGAATTTGTTGTTTACAAATTCAAAATACTGTGAGAGCTATTTCTATATTTACTATATTCTCTGCATGAAGTTACAACAAAGGAACTTGCCATTATATTATTATTACTGTTTGGTGAACTGTTAATGTATCTAACAGCACTGAAGGGCACTTGCTATATTCACACACAATAAGACTAAACAGTTCACGGAACAGATTAATTTTAATGACCGACTGTTGTAAGCCCAACTGCAACTTGGATAAGACTACCACATAATGAGCGAACCACCGCATTTCTCCTGTGCTGAACCTCAAGAGGGTTGGTTGTTCTGATCCTAACCAAATCTTCTGAAAGGCTTTAAGAGCCTTTGAGAACAGGCCTACATCAATGAAGATACTTACATTGTGATGAAAAATCCAGCACACAAGCAGCATGTAGTGGAAAGGCCTTCTTGAAGCCATATATACTCCCTGTCTTCTTCTTGTATAGTTTAGTGACCTTTGGGGAAGAACAGCTGATTATCAACAGATATATCTTGTTGGAAGTTTTAGAACAGTCTGCAGAAAAAGTTATCTTGAAATCTTGATTTCCAGCAAAGCTGTACATTTATCTTGCATAAACATCAAAACAACTATACCAAATCTGTATTTTTCAAGTTACGGTCCACCTCATTGTTTGTTGACATTTAAATGTGGGGCTTTATATATTTCATTTCCTAAACTAATGCCCAATAGCTAAATTCCACATTCACCTTTCCAAGGTACAGTCCATTATTTGTCATCTGTGCATTATGCTTGTCTGAGGCAACAAAAGTGCTCAAAATGTAACGGATGCCTAACAATTAACCTGATACGTTTCAGCTCAGTGAATACTGTATATTCTGAAAAATTCCAGGATCTTGATTTCAAATCAAGAGTTGGCAAATCATGTTTTGAGTTGCCCATGAAGTCAGCATGCTGAACTCTTCTCTTTCAGTGGATTGTAGTTACAGACTGTCATACATTGAATCAACAAGTTATAATAACTGCATATGCATGTACATCACGTCATTGCTTGCACAGGCCTTGCAGAATTAAACATGATCTGCTAGTAGCAATCTTCAGAACATCTTCAGATGCATTGTTGGCCTTGTTTCATTATTTCTTACAAAATGACAGCTGACCAAATAGGATTATTGACAGTATCTTTGAACTATGCTTTTCAACAATAACTTTGTCAGTGCTTTTTTGACAGCTGAAAATGATAGATTGTACCTTTAATAGATGAAAAACAAATTCGTTTCCTGTTTAAGACATATGCAAAAGTGCATGCACTCCTTGTACAAACAGCATTTGGACTTGATGATAACATCAATGTAACTATGTTGCCATGTACCATGAGCATATCATTGAAGAGAAACACATGTCTAAGATGTTTCTTGTCCTTCTTGGTGGGATCATAGACTTCAGACAAGCTGCACTTATGGACTAAACGACGATGAGGCTCAGCTAAAATCTAGAGAGAAAAACCAAAACAGTCTGTTCTAATACTTTGTATTTGTAAACATCAATTAAGTTGATGAAAAATTCCTTTGTAGATTAGACTAACAGTTTGGTCAGAAATGCATGGCTAACTAGATAACACTGGTGAAATGTTGCTTCCCTTTAACTTTAACAG